GCAATATCTAAACTAATATCAGACATGACAGTTATTATTTTATGTATGCTAACCGCTATTACTTAGAATTTCTTTTTAAAAAATGGTTGATACAAAGTGCCTTAACACTTAATAAAAAGACTACGGTTAGGGCATAAAGGCATTGATTAGGGTTTAGGCTGCAAGCTTTCAGCAATAAAATAACGCATCTCTTCTGTGTATCTGTGTCATATCAGGCCTGACTTATCTAGTTTATTGACATCTAAAAAGTCTTACCTGTAAGATTCTAATTTCTAATGCCTTTTCTACAGTACGGGACATGCTCTGCACTTTACTTAAAATAACTTTCCTGAAACTTACATATGTACGTACGTGCGTGCATACATACATACATACATACATACATACATACATACATACATACATACATACATACATACATACATACATACATACATACATACATACATACATACATACATACATACATACATACATACATACATACTCACTCGATATAGAAATTTCTAGTCTATGTATACTTATAGGTTGTATATAAGCATATACAAGGAACAATCTTGTTTTTATTGAAGATGACACAAATTGAATTGACTTGTCCGGGCAAAATGAATCATTATTCTCATTCTTTAACGACCTGTATGAAATTGAACATATCCATACGTTCTGCATCTGTCTGCGCTATTTGCCTGTCTGCCTCCACAGAGGCAAAAGAGATCCAGGAGCCGGCTACATTTCGAGCCACAGAAAGTCGATCAAGCGGCCATCGTTTGATAGACTTAGCTCCGCATAGAAATTCAACAGAAAGTATTGGTAGTAATTTCTAAGACTGGCAGTTTTGTGAAACAAATACCAGAGAACGATCTATTTTAGCACAAACACCCCAATCAGCGGCCGAAATAAAAGATGTTTCACAATCAGTTGGATTATCGTCAAACGGACCTGCTGTATAACTTGGAGTACTAACTTTCGTCGAAGGTAAGAACAGAGTTTATCTTATAGTGAACACCTGTGTTTTTAATATATTATGTCAGTCAACGTAAAATCTATATCACATGAATACATTATAGGCCCTCGAACTACTTAGGTTTATGATTGTATTTAATTGTGCCGATTTAATAGTCTTTACAAGATTTAATCTAATCTAGAGACGCTAAAAATTATTATAATTGATAGAATAACCTTGCAAATGATGTTTACACCCTTCTTTCTTGTATATTGGGTCGTAATATAATAAGCAGTGTCAGTTCTTATCGAAGCAACGAAGCAATTCATCACTGCTAGTAAAAGAAAATATTCTCGTCTGTCAACAATACCGTAGAACTAACATTAAATATCTCCGCTATCTCCGGACTTGTAATGGAAATATTTTGGGTTCTATACCAACCCATACTAGCCTTGGTCTGCTCACTTTGTGTGTCATTTGGAAAGTTTTTTAACTACTATTTTCCTCTGCATTATACAGCCTGTACTGTGCGCAAAGTGCCACAGCAACAACTGATTAAGTGCGGCCGCATGTATTACTTAGAAGTCATGCAAGTATAGCACGTAGTTGATTAATGTGGAAGTATAGTACAGTTACTGTTATCCATATACATAAGCCACATGACTGGTTGATCGTAGGTAGGACTAGTTATCAAAGGATCTTGGGGTTCGATACCCACACAGGCTAGCCCGGGTCGACCGATTTTATGTGTCCTAAGGAACGGTATTTAACTCCTAAATTTCCTAAGCGTCAGTATTGTGCGAAAAGTGCAAACCATCGAGCAACAAGCAGGATGGCTGACAGGGTTTGTGGGCCCTACGGAAATTTTCCAAATAGACCATTAATTAATTACAACAACAACAACAACAACAACAACAACAACAAAGAACACTCAAAAGAAAACAGGAATTCCTCTCTTCGAAGGTCCCCCTCCCCCGGCCGTTGTAAGCCCCTGGAATTTTGTCTTAGTTGTCCCACCCTGTCTACTGCCCTGACAACTACATTGACTAATTGCGTGCAGTCGCATATGTTACTTAACAAGCCATGCGAGTGTAGTACATAGTTACTCAACGTGCTGAGATGTTTTTTGTTCAATTTATGTCACAATACAATGGTACCAACGGACATTATCTTGTTCATTAAAGCAGATAAATGAATGCCTCTGTATGATCCTTACTTTGTTACATATATTTGCATACATTATATCGAAATACGATTATTTGTTTTATAGTTCTCTACACCATGCCGTAAGTGCGCATTATAATATAAAAGTTATGTACAATCATATGCGATGTAAACAGAACATTTTTCCCCTCTACTTACAGCAAACGTGCTCTACTGCATCAAATTACTTTAATGAATTTATGAAAACCTAATATTCATTGTCCAAATATCCCTATTTTAACCTTTTAACTCGCTTCTTCGTAAATAAAAGATAAAATAAATAGATATCTTTCAACCACTAGAAAACGTGGATATCTGAGACAGCTTGCAAGTATCCTTAAATGGGTCAGTGGTTCTTCTCGGGGGTTTTCCTTGTTCTTCCCCCACCAGATAAAATGGCTACCTTGTATAGCCTATCATGTCTGCAAAACGGCGTTAAATACACAACAAAGACAAAAAATGGTACTAACAGCTGATTCGCTATGGTGCTCAGCATTAAGAGGTTTGTGTTAGGACTGGTCGGCCTGGTGTCATGATAATGTGACTGTATGGAACATCATGCTGCATGTCTGCAGCATGATACCCCAGTACTAGACATCACTATTAACTGCCACACTGCAGACACAGTGCCGATATAACTGAAAACTTGTTAAAGCTACGTTAAAAAGCCAAACCATGCTCCTCACAAAAATCGAGAGAAAGCCTGTTTAAAAATGGTGAACGTTTGAGCCACTTAAATCTTAATTTTATACCGATAACAATTAAAAAGTACACTCAAAGGTAAAATAATTTATTATGTCTGTTTTCTTTTTTGTTTCAACGGTTAAAAGAGCTAAGTTGGCCACACGATCTGGGGTATAGAATGAAAAACAAAAGTTAGACATCAGTCTTCAATATAGGTAACCATAATTGCCTTATATAGTTTCTGTTTGCTAAATAAAAATAATTCCATTCGAAATGAATACACTGTGTACGCCATTAAGATTAACACAGAGTTGTCCTAATACATATACTCAAAGTAATAAACTTGAACCTACTTATAAAAAATTCCCCCAAATTTAAAAGGTCTATTTTGGATCAAATCCTTCAACTTCATTGTTTGCTTGAATACTGTTAGTACACTACATTTTTTTTAAGTTCGTCAAATCGATGTTATTGGCAATCTGTAACATACTCGTTTTAATATGATTGCATTTGCAGCCCCGATTTAAGATTTAGTATTATTGTTGTTGTTGTGTATGTTATTGTTATGTTGGGGCTTAAAACCATTTTTTCAGCACACGATAGGCTATACATGGCGGTCAGTATTAATGGTGGAGGAAGAAACCGGGTAATCCGCGGAAAGAACCACCGACCCACGAGAAGCTACTGGCAAGCTTTCTCACATATCCACATTCGCCGAAACTTAGACTCGAACCCACGCAGACAGAGGTGAGATGGCAGTGATCCGTAACGGAGAGCGCTTTTACCACCCGGCCACTCGGGGTCCCATTGTTGTGTAAGTGTATCTGTATCATAATCTAGAACAGAAATGTCAGCTACACTAAATCACAGATTGTTCATTATATTAAAAGAATTCATAATGCATTCATAAATTGTGTCTTCTTTGGATAAGTTTTCCGATCGATACCGAATTGAAATTTTATTAAATATCTTACTGGCCTGTGCTGATTAACATATATAACATCTTCAGCCTAATACACACAATGATTGCCACAATGTGTGTTTAATAATTTTTGATCTGCTCCTTTCTCGTTACCAAATGTGCAAATGTGAAACGACCCCACTCCTTTACGTTTCGTTTGGACTGTACTTGTATATTGATTGAATGTGATACTCCATATTGGACGTCCTTTCATTTCATGTTGATATTCGATGAAATCTTTAGACATTTAATTAAGTAAAATATCCGATTTCAGAAGACGATCGTGCATCTTCATAAATATGCTTAAAACCTCAATACCTCAAACAACGTGTTTACATTAAGTTACACTGGTTGAAGGCATGTCTCAAACGAACAGTAATGAGATCAATATTACAAGTTCCCTCCCCTTTTCTTTTTCAAACTGCTATTGAGCTAGATTCTAATAATTAAATTATAGAAAGACAATAAATTCCATAATGTAGTCTTGAAGATAAATAATATGCATTAACCAAAATGTAGGCTACATAGAAACTCTGTAGAATTAAATCTGTAAAGGCTATGAGTGGTATTGACACAAATTCAGGACACCGTAAAGACGTGCTTTGGATAATAAGATTGGAAATATTCAATATTACACGGTGCATGACACATTATAATGGATTTACTACCATATGATGTGTCTTTAAAAAAGTCCCCTCTTAAGCGATTGTCATTTAATATAATAATGAACGATCCCAGAGGCAAAGCCCTATATGCTAATTGGTCATAATATGTTATATGTACGTAAGCATTTGCCAGGAAGAAAACGCTAATGACAGCCTCTAAAAATTTATGGTATCAACAGAGAGAAACGTTACGTAAATGTACAGTATCAATAGAGGGAAAATAATATAAATGTACCGTATCACTAGAGGGAGAACATAATGTAAACGTACAGTATCAATAACAGCGTGATTTTGTTTGTGTTCGTGTGTGTGTGTGTGTGACTTTGATTTATAACATAGCTTTAACAATTTTTTAGTCATATCGGCACAGTGTCTGCAGTGTGGCAGTTTATAGTGATGTCTAACAATGAGGCATCATGCTTAAGACATGTAGCATGATGTCCCACATTAAGCTGATACCAGGCCGGCCAGTCCTAACAATAATCTTTTAATGCTGCGCACTGAGCTGGACAGCTCTTAGTACCATTTTTATAAGTCTTTGATATGACTCGACCGAGGTTCGAACCCGCGACCTCCAGCACCAGAGGCGGACGCTCTAACCACTAAGCTACCTGAGCGGTTCTTCAATAAAAATTGAGGGATAACATAGTGTACAATATTTATAAAGCGAGAACATAATGTAAACGTACAGTAACAATAGAGGGATAAAATTGTGTACAGTATTTATAAAGCGAGAACATAATGTAAACGTACAGTAACAATAGAGGGATAAAATTGTGTACAGTATTTATAAAGCGAGAACATAATGTAAACGTACAGTAACAATAGAGTGATAACATAGTGTACAGTATTTATAAAGCGAGAACATATTGTAAACGTACAGGAATAATAGAGGGATAACATTGTGTATAGTATTTATAAAGCGAGAACATAATGTAAACGTACAGTAACAATAGAGGGATAACACAGTGTACAGTATTTATAAAGCGAGAACATATTGTAAACGTACAGTATCAATAGAGGGATAACACAGTGTACAGAATTTATAAAGCGAGAACGTACAGTATCAATAGAGGTATAATCGAGTGTAAGTGAATTCTGCCGCTCCCTATATCTTCTTTAAACACTTCTTAATACCTATTTTATTTTGGATAAATAAAACAGCATTTTAATGTTCGCTACAGTCAAAAAACATCGTCATGAATACTATGGCTATAGCGATTATTCCTTTAAATGAATATATTTACCTAAATTGTCTTTTATAAATGTAAAGTTTACTGTCATTCTTTAGTAAGCGCATTCATATTATGTGATTATCGGTAGAATTTTCATTGGCGGACGCGGGGAGGAGGCATCTTTTTATTAAACATTTTTTGCGTGCTATATAAATATACCCCTTTGACCGTGGCTTGATCCACCTCCTCCCACGGAAATAGTCCTTTCGACGTCCATGACTTTCTTTAGTTTCTCTGTAAAAACATATGCTAATTCGAACTACACCTTTGTTTAAATGACTTTCACACCATGTGGGTTTTAATTTCGTTATTGCTTCCTGAATGTTGCGCCCCGCATTCTGCCTTGGACCCCACACATCGTAAGGCTATGTATGTATGTATGTATGTATGTATGTATGTATGTATGTATGTATGTATGTATGTATGTATGTATGTATGTATGTATGTATGTATGTATGTATGTATGTATGTATGTATACTGAAAGTTTGATATTAGCTTAAAATCAGATTTTATGAAATGGATGCCCGCCTTTTGAAAACTTTTGCTCTACAAAACTGTTCGTCCGAGAATATCATGTTTTATTTGCATTAAACTTAGTGTAAAATCTACTCGTTCAGTCAATTATCATTTGAGCCATAAAAAAAGTTTAATTATTTCTCATTCGTGAAGGTTCGGGTTATCAAGGAATGAGTGTATATTTGGGTGGCTTAATATGATGAAATATGAAGTTGCACCTGCCACTCAAGGCAACAACTCAAAAAATCTTTAATACCTACTGTCAAGATTCAGAATTTAAAATTGCTCAGAATTTCTTCAGTTTGGAATTCTTTCTGAAACATTTATTCGATAAATAAGATTTCTCAGCCGGAATCAAAAGTTCCCCTCCTACCCAAGACAGAACATGTTATAAACAATACATCTAACCATTTGAAATGTAAAACTGATTTTGACTTCAAACGCTCTTTTGAGTACAGATATATGACAAGGGTGGGTATTTAATATGTTTACAAAATTAAAATACTTTGCACGGTCTAGAAGCAAATTATAAAATACCAGCAGATACTATAAGATTTACCAGACTGATTCGCTTTTGGCACTGAAAATTCAGTTTAGTCAATACAAAATTGATGCATATTGCGAGGAATGCAGTAATATTTTACATAAAAATGCAGTTTGGCTACAATTATATCAGCAGATAATATCTTGCTGACTTAGCTTTCTATTTATTACCGACACGTATAGTTTTTTTATTTACAATAATGAACGTTAAAGAATTTATTAAACACTTATTGGCACTAATCATGACGAGACACTCTCATTTGCGGACAGGAATACGGAAGTTGATAACTTAAAATTGGAGGAATACAATATTCAACACAAAAAAGAAAGACTTATATAGTCGAAGACTCTTGCACAGAGTTAGACAAACATAATTTTTGAAAATATAAATATTTCAAATAATTGTTACGTTATTTGCAAACATTCTGTTGAAGGATTCTCTTTTCTTGGTGGGTGATGTCCCAAAAGAAAAGAAAAGAAAAGAAAAGAAAAGAGAAAAAATACAACAACCAATCTTGACCCACTTTATAGAGCTCATAAGGACCAGGTGTAAGATCGCCTCACATCTCTATTTATAGAAAAGACATAAGTTCTAATAAATGCAGCATACTCTCGCGTGATTTACTTATGTTAAAGTTAAAATTATAAATGTATAACTGTACATTTAATAATGAGTTACCAAATATGTTTAATAATAAAAAAGAACTGAAAATTCACTTTCTCTAAGAAGGGTGGTATTCTACCTACATAAAATGTAGATGGGATTAAATTTAGATACCAGTTAACAAATATACCAAAGATTGTGTTTTATAAACTGAATACTAATTTATGTTTATATCATATCCATAGTAAGTTATTTACGGATATGTATGTATCTATTAATATATTAAACGTACTTGCCTATATAACACTGTGCTTACGCATCCCACTCAACCCAAACTCCATCGCCTTTTACCTCGCTTTTACTATTGACAGCATATTTTAAATCGTTTAGTCAGTTTCTATAAAATAAAAAAAAATGCAGGCACTACCTATATTGTCCAAGCAGGGTCTGGTCCGGTGAGATTTCAATGTATCAATCAATATACATATAGTATGCTTTATGATCTTTGTATAGATCAATGTATAAAAACATGTATGAATACAAGGTAAAAGAACGGATGAATGTGTGTGTGTGTGTGTGTGTAATTATGACTTTTAACGTAGCTTTAACAAATTTTCAGTCACAGTCTGGCAGTTTATAGTGATATCTAGCTCTGGGGCATCATGCCGTAGCCATGTAGCATGATATCCCACCCAGTCATATTATTCTGACACCAGGCCGACCAGTTCTAATACTAACCACTTAATGCTGAGCGTCAAGCGATACAGCTGTTAGTACCATTTTTATAAGTCTTTCGTATAACTCGACCATGGATAAAACCCACGACCTCGCATCCGAGGCGGAAGCTCTAATCAATGGGCCACCGGATACATACATACATACATACATACATACATACATACATACATACATACATACATACATACATACATACATACATACATACATACATACATACATACATACATACATACATACATACATACATACATACATACATACATACATACATACATACATACATACATTTCTGTCTCTCTAAAACGTCAGACAATATTTTTACCAGCTGTATGTGAATCTGATAGTTGTGATACTCTATTACGAATATTAGATGTTTATATTGGTTTATAAATGTTAATGGTGAGTCTAAGACACTATCTTAGCAGCGTAATGTGTTTTATATATTCAGTTGATTCAACAAACACACTTTCAACAGCAGATAATGTCGTTACAGCTTTTGTTTGCTTTCTTTTATTGCCGACACATGGCATCTGTTTCTATGCTGCTAGCATTATGTTACAGAGAACGTCTTTAAAACCGAAGATAAGAATGGAATCAAACATTTTTACGAGGAAACGGTAACCTCATTATCAAGAAAACCATGCTCGTTACTTCATATAAAATATTTCATTGGCAATCAATGATATCTTTTTCATCATAGTTGATTTTTATTATATTTGTGGTCTCGTTTGCAATGTTTTTTTTGTCATATCTCAGTTTTATGTGTCATTCTACTGCAAGCACCACTGTCGTTTTTTCGATGATCATTCTAATCCACGAGTCAAATTATCTACTAATCAACAACCAACCTACTGTTTCACTCACTAATTTCATAATGTGTCAGTCTATCTGTCTGTCTGCCTACCTGTCAATGTATTTTCCTTTGTATGCCTTATAAAAGTCTATCTTTATGCTGCAAGTTATTATTTCCACTTATAACAGGAATAAAGTGTAGGACTGCATGACCATATATTGGTTATGCCACATAGAGATAGATCTCTTGCAGTTGCGTAGCAACCGTCAAAGAAACCACCACAAATGGGAGGGCAGGTCCAACATGGATCAAAACCCCACCAAACAACTTTTTTTGAGGGAATCAAATAATTAAGTTCTGCGGTGAGAATGGGGACAGGATTTTTCTTGCTTCGCTACTGACCCCTTGCTAATATTTGATTATTTTCATATATTTTAACAATATTTTTTATTATTAACTGCACTGCACCGGACTATGTACGAAAATCTTCAAGTATTTACAATCTTTTATCGATCCGTTGTGTGTTGCCTGCACGCACATTAAGTGTGTACAGCAATGGTTGGTCTCGCCAAGAACTGCCGATAGTCTTGCCGTGGAGTTGTCTCAGTTTTGTAGGAAACTGCTTTATCTAAAGGACATACGGTACTAATGGTATTGAAAAAATGGGAACCAGACTAGAAATGGGTGAACTTTAAATAGGGTATATACAGGTTTGGAAGACCAAGTCTGGTTAATAATGTAAGTTATGTTTTTAAAAAATTCTTTTGAGACATTATCATAGTTGAATGTGAATAAAAATAGACTGTTTTATTGACGGAATTTCAGTTTTTTAATAGTCCTGAGTTTAGAACACTCATTACTAAAATAAGCACCTGACACTTTGGTGCAGAATTGAAAGCAAATGTTTCAAACATATGCAGCTCCAGAGCGGTTTATATCCTTTCTTCTGCAGAGAAGCTGGCTTCCAGGTTTCATCTGGTATAGATTAATACCCCTCTCGTTAGGTCAGATAGAGTTCTATTGGAATTCTAGTCTAATTGGCCTTGGCAGACCATACAAACCTAGTTTTACAAAATTAATGGTTCTGTTAATGGCTATTTCAACACGCCACTGAGACATTAGTTCCAGTCCCATCTCAATTACGCAAATGAATGAATAAAATTCCTTAACTGCGGTATTTTATAA